GGGGGGGGGGGAGGGGGCAGGAGAGGAAACTGCGTGTGCGTGGGAAGATGTTTACAGGTCCTTTCTAAGGACCACCCCCAACACCGTCCAAGCCAAAGACGCACAGCACACAGGAGGGGCGCAGGGCAGTCCCCCCAACGTTTGTCAGAGCCGGGGTGAGAGTTGTGTCTCGTTGCCACATCAGGCATGGAGGGCGACCTTTGTGCTCATCTACCCAGGGAGGAGCGGGTCCCAACCGATCAGAAAGGAGGGGTGCAGAGCAATTCCTGTTCATCCTCCCGCGAGCGCCATGGGAAGGTGGAGCAAGGGGGCTGATTCTCAGTCCGTGTGGATTGCTGCGCTGGCTCTCGCTCAGCATGCACAGGCCAGTCGTGGAGATGACCCGGCTGAGTTACACACCCTCCTGAATTCCTGGGGTACAGACTCAGCCAGCGAGCCTCCGCAGCTCCCTCTACCCCGTCTATGCTGCTCTTTGTATTGTGCTCACTCCATGAGAGCTAGGGTGAGCATCTCTGCAAGCTCTGGGGTGTGCAGCCCCCTCCTATCATGGCGGTGATGAGCTGAGCTGTTCTGTCCCCTGGGGCTGGAGCTGAGGCCAGGAAGCTGGACCGGGCCTGGCTGGGTGTGTGCTGTCAGCTGCCAATCTGTGTTTTGACCATTCTATTTTAAACAGGCCATTTTGTTATCAGGTTCCAAATAAAATCTACTGAACCACATTCTGTCCAGCCCGTGGGCGAGTCTGGATTTCTTTCTTCCTCTGCTCCTGGAAGGAACACTGCAGGCCCAGTCCTTCCCAGCAGGGGGTGCTGTGGGAACAGTGCACAGGAGTACGGGGGTGAACACTGGGTTACTCCAGTCCCAGCCTTTGCCAGCAGAGGATGCAGCAGGAAGTAGGGACTGGAGCAGTGGGATATTAGAGAGTAGAGGGGGGCCCTGGCAGTGGGGGGAGGGAAGGTGCTGGAGGAGGGCTGGCTGCTAGGCAAGGACAGCAGCTGAGAGCCTTGAGGGGCGGGGGAATTTTTGCCAACACCCTGGCTAGGCCCTTTCTTCTCTCCGGGCCCAGCTGTCGGGAAAGGGATTGCCAGCGTGCCTCATGTTACAATCTGGAGTTCTAGACAACGGCGTCCCAGTGTCTTGGGAGGGGATTAACGTCCTCCAAGCTGCCTGTGCTCCTCCCTGACCACGTGGATCCCCCAGGCGCTCCAGGAATGGACGGGCTATGATGGGGAACAGGGAGAGATGTTGTGCTGCCATTTTCACCCTGCTCTGTAGGAGAAGGGCAGGTTACAGGGGCTGTGTGCGTTACAGTCCCCCCGGGGCTGGGGAGGGCAGGACACGCCATGGGGCAGTGGGGATACCATCCAGCAGCAAGGGAGCGGGAAGGCTGGAGCCTCAGAGCTCCCCCCAGCTTTGGGTGTGATCACAGCACTGGGGGCAGCCAACAGCCAGGTGGGACCCCCATCTTCTTGCCCCTGCAGGCTGGATGGGTAAAGGGGGGGATGTCTCAGATATTGGCCCATCTCGCTCCCTGCTAGACCCTGCCTCTGGCACACACTTGCTGTGTCTTCAACAGGCTGTAATATCTTGGGGTTTGCATTTAGCAAGGACTGTAGAGGAGGCCAGGCTCACTGATCTGAGGGCCTTGTAGCCTAAACTCTGACACTTCCAGTCCTACCCCTGGCCCAGCCCCCATTACTCTCTGTAGGGCCAGAGAACAGAAAGGGGTGGGGGCTATGTCTGGCGAGTCTGCTCCTGATCCTATAGCTGCTGTGTCTGGACTCACTGTTGCCCTCACACAGCCTCCCTTCCATGCTCTCATTTGCTTATCCTTGTATTCCGATCCCCCAGTGCCTCTCCATAGGTCTCCCCCTCAGGGTCACCCAGCTGTTCTCTGCTGCAGGCTGATGGCAGATCCCGATAGAGTGATAGTGAAGTGGGGTCCGTGCCAGCCCCCTCTCTCCCAGAGCCCCAGGGCACAGCTGACCGGCTGCAGCTCCATGCTGCTGGCTGGCTCTTCTCTATGAAGGGAGGCAAGTCGGAGCAAGAGGGCTGCGTGTGAGCTCTCCATGGCACCCAGCACTGCTCGGGTGCCTGAGGCTCTGGCAGGCTGGGACTGGCCCTGATGCAGCTGGGCTTAGCGAGCCGCAGGGCAACAGGCTTAAGGCACGCTCAGGAATCCACTCGCTCTGTCCCACCAGCCTGTCCGGCTCTATACAAAGCACCAGTCACCAAAGGCCTGAATTGGAGGCTGGGCTCCCTCCCCCCCCGCCCTCTCTTTCCATCTGCCTGCCTGCCTGTCCCTGAGGGTCTCTGTCAGTCTGTCCACCTCCCCGTTCCCTCGCTCTGTCTCCTACCACTCTGCCTTGCTGCCTCTCGCTCTCTTGTCCTTTCTCTTTCTGTTTGTGTTGCACTCGGGGCTCCTGTTCTCTCTCTTTTGCCCTCTCTCTTTGTTGCTGCCTGGATCTAACAGGTTCCCTTTATAACCTGCATGATGCTGGGGCCCCAGCACCCATCCGGGATCCAGGCTCTCTACTGCCAGCCTGTACACGCAGCACGGTAGCCTTCCCCCAAACAGCTTCCAGTCTCTGAAGCACAGGGGAGCCCCAACCCCGCCTCTAGCTCACGTGCCCGGCCCCTCCTGCCTCTCTCTGCCCATCCTTGGCTCCTTCGGCCCCTTGCTCCGCTGCTAACAGCCCTGGCTGCCCTCCCATTGCTCTCCTCCTTCAATGGCTTCTTGCTCGCCCCTTGTGCTACCCCCCTTCCTGTTGCTTCTCCCCTCACTCGCTCCTTCTCTCCTTCATTTTCTCCCGTCCTCTCTCTCCCTCCTTCCATCTCTCCCTCGCCCTCTGTCTTGCCCTGTCCTTCCCTAACTTGTTCCTCTCTGCCGCTTGCTTTCCCTCTGGGCTCCTGTCCTCTCCCTTGCTCTGTCCTCGGCTCCATCCCAGGCCCCGGCTGTTGCTGTTCCTCTGGGATTGGCACCGCCTGTTTCCCTGCGGTGCTAGGCGCTGTACCCGGGCGCCAGAATGCCGGCTGGGAAGCCGAGGGGTTTAGGACCCGGCCGGGGCGGCAGGCGGGCAGCCCATGTGCTCCCTCCCAAGCCGTCCCTCTATTGTCTGGGAGCTGCAGCCCCGAGCTGCCGGCTGCTGCAGACGGAGGCGCGGTCGGGGCGCGGCGTGGCGCTCGGGGGCCGGGCATGGTGCGGGCCGGGGGATCTGAGCCCCGCGCCAGCCCCATGGCCCCGGGGCGGGCTGGGATGGGCCCCCCGCTGCTCGCTGCCCCCCGGGCCTCCGGCCGCGGCTGCCTGGTCCTGCTGGCCGCGCTGCTGGCGCTGGAGACGGCGAGAGGTGAGTGCGGGGCGCGTCCCTCCCTCGGGTACCCCGCAGCGCCGCGGAGACACCCCCCCGCAATGGGCTGCAGCCGGGACAGCTGTCCTAGTGCGCCCCGGCCCGGCGGGTCAAAGGGAACCCGGCAAACCGGCTCCGAGCTCCCCAAAACCCGTGCACGCCCTGTCCCCCGTGGGACCCAGCGGGGCGGTGACCCCCCAGAACCAGTGCGCCCCGTGTATTCCGGGGAGCCCTAGTCACCTAGCTGCGACCCCCCACAGAACCAGGGCGCCCCGTGTATGCCGGGGATCCCTTGTCACCTGGCTGCGACCCTCCCACAGAACCAGTGCGCCCCGTGTATTCCGGGGAGCCCTAGTCACCTAGCTGCGACCCCCCACAGAACCAGGGCGCCCCGTGTATGCCGGGGATCCCTTGTCACCTGGCTGCGACCCTCCCACAGAACCAGTGCGCCCCGTGTATTCCGGGGAGCCCTAGTCACCTAGCTGCGACCCCCCACAGAACCAGGGCGCCCCGTGTATGCCGGGGATCCCTTGTCACCTGGCTGCGACCCTCCCACAGAACCAGTGCGCCCCGTGTATTCCGGGGAGCCCTAGTCACCTAGCTGCGACCCCCCACAGAACCAGGGCGCCCCGTGTATGCCGGGGATCCCTTGTCACCTGGCTGCGACCCTCCCACAGAACCAGTGCGCCCCGTGTATTCCGGGGAGCCCTAGTCACCTAGCTGCGACCCCCCACAGAACCAGTGCGCCCCGTGTATTCTGGGGGGGCCCTGTCCCTGTCACCTGGCTGCAACCCCCCACAGAACCAGTGCGCCCTGTGTATTCCGGGGGGGCCCTATCCCAGTCACCTGGCTGTGATCCCACTGGGCCCAAATGCTCTCTTTGATCCAGGGAGGACCCTGGCCCCATTGACCTAACTCTGAGCCCCATCGGTCCTTACAGGACCCATGTTCCTTCTTCCAGTGTGACTCCTGCCCCAGCGACCTGACTTTGAGCCTCACGGAACTTGTGCCCTCTCCTAAAATCCATCCTGCCCAGTGGTCCCGCCTTGTACCGCTCAGAGGCAGCAAGGCCCCTTGTCTTTCCCAGTAGGTCACAGCAGGTAACCCCGCAGGCTTCCCCGCCCCACGTCCCCCTTAGAGTCTGGTGCTGGTGGAACCTCAGGCCCTCCTCAGGAGCCAGCCAGGGTCCCAGCGCTCTCCCCAGCTCCTCTGAATCGTACCAAGCTCTTCCTGAGCTCTCCCCAGCTCCTCTGAGTCGTGCCAAGCCAGGGAGACCCCACCCCTCCCTGGGTCCCCTGCTCAGGACAACCCAGGCTGGAGCAATGACACCAAGACTCCCCCCAGGAGGAAGCCAGTGAATCTTCTCTGATGTAGTTAGGCCTGAGGGCAGGACAGGGCAGAGCAGGCCCTGGCCAGGCAGAGATTGTGAAGGTCTGAAGCCATGGAGCTGACCCCCCCCATCCCTTGCAAGGCTGCTCCCCCAGCTAATGCATCTCTCTGTTAAAACGCTCCCTGGGGTTCACTGACTAGTCTCACCGCTACTCACCCTCCCCAGTCCTTTCTGCCACCTCCCCCCGAATCTTTGCAGCTCTGACATGCTCACCCTCCAGCACTCAATGTGCAGTGGGAGTCAAACTGTGCAGGGCTTGGTGGCCCCCATGCTGGGACAGTGTGTTAGATCTGGCGGAGCAGGGGGTCCCCGGAGCCAAATGATTCTCTGTTGCATTGCTCCTGATTCTTCAGGGTCCATTCCTGGTCCTTTGGGTCCCACATGTGATGGGGAGCTTCTGGGGTCCCCAGGTACTACATGAGCTGGTGCTCAGAGCAAGCCATCTCTGAGGGGTTTGTTCTGTCCCATGGGGCTGGTGCCTGCGGTGGGATTGCAGCATTTCATGGTGACTCCTGACCTCTGTGGGCCCAAACTGGGAAGAGATTGGGCCGTATGAGAGAGAAGGAGCCCTGGGCTGAGTAGGAAGGGGTGGGTTTGGAGGGGGGACTGGGAAGGGAGGCATGGAGCCAGGCCCACCAAGAAAAAGGGCGATATGGGAGGCAGGGAGCTAGGCTGGAGCTGTCAGCTTGAGGAGAGTGCAATGTAATTAGCAGGCCAATCAAGCCAGGGGAGGGGAGATGGCAGAGGTCACTACCTGTGGGAGGCAGATACCAGGCTTGTGATGAACCCACCTGTTTCTCCTCCCCCACTTCCACCCACTGGATCTTGTT